CGCTGTTATTTTTTTGTTTTTTTTTTTACTTTGTCATACTAAAATGTGATGTTATAATATCTCCTTTTTTATTAATTATAATTATTTACGGTAGGTGATAAAAGTTTGTATAAACCACTTCCACGTCAGCAAAGTGTCTTTATCGAACTCGCCTGTTACTCTATAATCTTAGGCTAGTTCGATAAAGTATCACTTTGCTGACTAGGTACATGAATAACTATTAACGTATTAAAGGTACACGGACGAGATTTTCCCATTTTCCTTTGTTTCTTTTTAAATCGGTCACATTTGAGAATTGGAATTATTTCCATTAATAATTGCCAGTCTGGTTATTATTCCTCCTTGTTCTAGAGAACTAGGTACCACAGCGAGATTTGATTTTGCTTCATAAATGCAGATGGCATTTCATTTTTGCTCGTTGAATATCTACACATTCTCAACCTCCGTTAATGTATGCGAGCGAATTTTGTATAGCCGGAAAACTCCATTAGAGTCGGGATTATCTATTGCTTGCTGATGAGTCCTAATAAGGACGAAACCGGGCCAAAAATGACGTTCTTTTTAGGAATGATTTGCAGTATTAGCATGCGGCTCATCATTGTTTAAATACAATTTCGTCTGCATTTAAACACGAAACATAAGCCGACACTCTTGCATACCAAGACTTTGAACTTTGCCAATTATATCCACCAAAAAATGCAATTAAATTTTGTAACAGCAGAACTGCAAGGCATCATTAAAAAAAAATCAACTAAACAGTTAAATATAATGAATCACATCGACATAGGAAACAGTAGTGCCATTTTTCATCTCTCTATTATCACAATGCATGTCTCTCTGGGGCTGAAACTAAATAATTTATACGGGTACGGGGTCTACCCAATCATTTCTAAGTATCAACATTTATCGCCATTCTTCTAGCATTAAATGGAAAAGTAAAGTTGTATAATTTAAATATTACGTCACAAGATTAATCAATGTTCCAAATCTATGAATAATGAATGTTATTAAGTGTGTGTTAAACCAGCGTGTTTTACTTTCCATTAGCTAAGTAATTTCAGAAAGAGTGAGATCAATCATACTCGTAGGAAATGAGTGCCATCCATTGCTAGTGAACCAATATACTGCAACGATAGTTTAATTTATTTATAGTTTATTTATTTAAAACACACTATTTACAATTTATTTATGACGTACTAATTAATTTATATAATACTTAGGCACTATTATAACTCACAATTCTAATTTATTTATTACAATTTATCTTTTCTATCCAACACTTAAATTTAATCTTATCTACCGTCTTCAAAAACTCGAGATATTTATATCAAGCCAACTCTGTACTAAAATACTCTGGGCTTTCCAGAATTATCGAAAACTGCCTCTCTATAACTCATACGGCGCAAAGGGATATATCTGGTAGCTTCTCGAAGCGATGCGTTTGTCTCTATACGTCAGCGGCATACCTAGAAGATTCTGGTGTTTCGACCATGAGTCGGGTGGCAGGCTTCAAGGTCGCTTGCTAGACAAGGTTGACTCCGCGTTACAATACTATTTATCGGAACTTATGTAACAGGTGTATGATAAGAAAATATGCCTGTGTTTATTTATGAATTAATTTAAAAAGTGGGAAAAGCATGAAAAGGTGCATAGGAGTCTGGAATTTATCACTTTCCCAGCAAATTATATTGGGTCGAAATTCAAAGCTGATGCTTTTGAGATAATCAACATCAACAAGAGAATGAAGCTTCCAACCTATTTGCAAAGTTTTAGTGAAAGTCCGTGATAATGTTTAATCCAAAGCTGAGGCTTTAGGTAATCAACATAAAATCGACAGATTAATAAAGCGTCCAAGTCATTTGCAGAGTTTTAGTGATAGTCCGTGTGTTTATAACAGAATGGAGTGTCATGGACATGACTGTCTACGTACTCCACAATTAAAGCATTGTAACTATTATATAAATCCGGCAATTATAAGCGGAGGTGACGCGTTATGACATTGCAACCCTTTCAGTCGAACTACAAGGGGTAAAGTGCACGACCGTAAATAATTGTATTATACATAGAGATCAGCGACCTTTAGAGTGAGTGGTCGAGACGATTTTTAAACCCGAAGCCACAAAGGAGTTCTTACTAACTCTTTTGAGTTTTAATGTTTAAATAACTTAATACGTTATGACTCCTTGCGAGTCTTAAGTTTTATATAATTGCATTTCTCGTTGTGGATATTAAGTTTCCTCTATTTTGGTCCTAAATGTATGGTTGGTTAAAATAAATCAAATCACGCTATTAAATGTTTTGGAATTCTGTTCTATTTTTATCGAAAAAATGTATCCGAAACTCGCAAGCAAATAATAAAATTATGAGTACAGTTTAGCATTTGTATTTGAGTTTATTTACAATAATTAAAATAAGACAAAAATCACCTTCCATAAAGAAATGAAATAATTCTATCTGCGAAAATGTACTTAATACACTTTTCGAATTTTTTGAGGATTATTTTTAAAAATTTGTTTTTATACATTTATTTGAATGTGTTACGATTGTAGGAGTGTTTAAGGTACCATGTCGGTAGGCGCGACAGACGACCGCCGACGCGACATACGACCGCCGACGCGACCGAGAAGTGTCGCTTCACATCTAAAATACATACAATTATATGAAACACATTTCGCACGGCGAGACACTTCCTGGAGACATTTCTGAATCTGACTCGGGGCAAAGGTTGGCTGCCTGTCGCACTCGAGGTCACTGTCCTCGAGCATCGCTTCATCGCTTGGGGGTAAATAGGTTGAACATTTCTTTCGATCTAGTCAGTGTTGCCAGATTTTGGAACAGTATGGGTGAAAAAAAACCGTAGATCTGAACAGTAGATTTTAATACAGGAGGAAATAATTGAAATTTGCAGTGTAGTAAATAAAAAAACAAGTATATAAGAAACGAAAAATAAACTTTTTTCGACCCAAATTAGAAGGTAAACAAAGAATAAACACAAATAATAACATTTTTATACTTAACGTACGGAAACAAAAAAAAAAACAATGAAAAATAATAGGTACCTACTTCTTTTAGATCAGTTTGAATCAGATAATTCAAAATCGTAGACCTTCCAGACTACATAAAATCATAAGTATTACATATGGTTGAACTCGTATTGAATAGGAGATTCCAATAATGACTGAATATACAGGATGATGAATTTGAAAAACCAAAGTGACTAATAATATAAGAGAAACGGCAAATCTGGCAACATTGCAAATATCAAATCTGGAATCTCCGTATCACAAAATAGGTGTACCCCAAATTTTGTACAATTAGGATTAGCAATTTACGAGATAATTGGCCGTTTCCAGACTTTTGGGCCACTCCGTATAATAAATTAATAACGCAAACAAAGCCAGGATAATATACATGGTAATCAACATTTTTTTTGTATTATTTTTATTTAATAAAATGCTACGATTTTAAATGAACCAAATAATGTATTTGTTCTTTCTTTCTTTCTCTCAATTTTCATTCGAATAAGTAGTTGTATTCCATAAACCGTTGTTGCAAAATGAAATGTTTTTAAAAGCAATAAATGTATTATTATTGTCTAGACGGAGGTAGAACTTACTTGTTGCCAAACATTGATTTGATTCAGCGGTGTGTTATTGTTGTTCTTAACATTTCGCATGTATTAGAAAATGTTCTTCGATGAATAAAAGAACATGGCAACCTTCTAGAGATTCTTTTCGTTTGTATTTGAGATTTTAAGAGTTTGTCAAAAGGAAACTGGTTATTTTAAAATTGAAACGTTAAAAATGAAACAAAAGTGTAAGAAAAAGAGACAAATCAGTTTTGTTACAGTAATCTATTAAAAATGATCTTTATTATTAAAAAATAGAGTGCATGCAAACAAATTTTTAAGCATACAAAAAGGTGACTCTATTTAATATATTATTTTGCTCATAGTAATATCAAAATTGTTGACAGTAACATACGTAGAAGTAAAATATTAATTAAATGTGTTTCAATAGAACATAAAATATAAATTTGCACTTTGAAATAAATTTTCCTATAAGCCGCAATGTAAGTACGAAAAATTTCGTAAGCACCTCGACTTGTAAGTTACACTTACCAGTCTCAGTACAGGGTGATTCATTAAGAGTGGTGACCGGCCGTATCTCAGAATATCTTGAAGTAGAATTTTTTTGAAAGAAACGCAAACACAGGTACATTTTTCTATAATATACTAAACTGTCATATGAAATTCATCTTCCCTACGTCAATCTAACAAATACAATTTAAATAGAGAAAGTACCAAGTATGACACATCGTCGGAAAGGTAATTTTATGAGGAATTCGGCAATATGACTGTTCAATGCGTTACTTTTAATTTTAGTGCCCTCTAGCGGGATAAAAAATTATTACCTATAGTAAATTGTGACACTTCATTTGAAAGCTAATTTTATTAGTAATTTAATAGACGTAATATTATGTTAACTAAATTAAAAATGAACTTAAAAGGAAGAAATAATACATTAGTACTAAATTTATTTTGTGGCAAGGTTAATGTTATGTGGTGTATTGGATTACTAATAAAATTAGCTTTCAAATGAAGTGTCACACTTTACCATAGGTAAATAATTTTTTACCCCATAGAGGGCGCTAAAATTAAAAGGAACACAATGAACAGTCATACTGCTGAATTCCCCATAAAATTACCTTTCCGACGATGTTTCATACTTGGTACTTTCCCTATTTAAATTGTATTGGTTAGATTAACGTAGGGGAGAGGAATGACATGTGCGTTTCTTTCAAACAAAATTTTACTTCAAGATATTTTGAGGTACGGCCGGTCGCCACCCTTCATGAATCACCCTGTACATAATGAACTAAATCTGCATGTCAGTTATTTTCTTTCCTAGTGTGAATTCTTGAATTTGTTTCATGAGAATTTTATTCTATTGCAACAAAATCGTTTTTGAAAGGGAAATACAAAAAAAATCTAGACTTACCTCCAGGTCTTCATCGTTTGCAGACTGACTAGAAAGTTCTGGGAGTTGTGATATTTTTCTATCGAAGATACACTGATGAAGTTGATCATCCAGCATTGTAAAGTTTTCGAAACTCCTTTGGATAATCCAGCACGCGTCTCCGGATGTTACTTGGACCATGAACCACTCGATGTCGCTATCATCGTTTGCTATAAAAAATAAAATTCATCAGCTATTATTTGTTATGTCCTCACAAAAAAATAAAAACATGAATGTCAAGATTTCTGATCAACGAAATTTTGAAAACAGGATAGGATGTCAATTTTTAGTTCTTTAAATATATCTTATACAAAATAGAAACAACTATCCGAAAAATTAATAATTAAACTGTTGTAGTACTCCACAAAAAACAGTATGTACGGAAAAAAAGATACACAGGGTGATTTATAACTATTGGGACGTAAGCTAAGGGCAGGTTATTTGGATCAATATTGCTTTATTTTAATCCCAAACAAGTGGGACTATGTATTGTATTTTCAATAATTTATATTTGAGTACCTTTTTTAGTTGATTTTTGGAATATAAATTGTCTAACTACTTATCTGGTACTTTCAGCTACTGTCAACTAATTTGAGAACCCACAAAATAATTTATTTTTTAAACGAAATGGAATAGCAAGGGTGATGTTGAATGCATTACGTTTACAGTTTATAGGTATTTTTACATCTTTGAATAAGTATATCCACCCCGATATACATACGTCAGTACTTATTTTATTAGTATAGGTTCGTTTCCAAAGTTTAAAAAATAGTAATCGAAAATAATTTCAAATCGGTTCAAATTAGATAGATATTTTAAAAACAAAACCGCCCATTAATTTTTTGTTCTCGGTAAAATATGGACGTAGCTACCGAGTCAATAAACACCAACCAGTAAATAATCTGCCTTTAGAAAGACTGGCAACACTGTAAATAGTAAACGGAATGAACACGTGACGAAGCTACTATTCGCGATTCAAATTAATTTTTGCGCGCCTGTCACTTGTCACCTATAAGTAGGATGTTTGTTTATTTACATGTGTTTGTTTTGTTTATTTACATGTGTTTGTTTTGGGCGGGATTTTGTATTTGTGATTTTTTAACTGTTTTTAGATAATATTCTCATTATAATAATGTTTTTGTGTTTCATTTAGTGTTAATTTAAGTTTAGTTTTCGTGCTTTCGTCATAAATATAATATTTATCATGTGTATGACTGAATTTGTTGGAAATATTCACCTATCGGTTGCTACATGAACATCTAGAAATGTGTGTTTACTAAACCCAGAATATGTTTTATTATGTGGTTTAAAGGACATTTCAGGTACCAAACGTTTATTATTGATGAACTTATTTAAAAATCTTACTCTCCTTATTCTTATATTATGAAGTGAATTGTGTAGTACTTTGTGTACATATAAATGGTAATAAAACCGTCACAAATCATATTGCAGTTTGATTCTAAATAAAGTTTTGCAAAATTTCAATATTGTGAATTTGTACATATCCATTTATCGTAAGAAACAAAATTTTACGACTTACGCTTGGAAAATAATGAATACTTCAGTTTTGATTTTGACATTAACATATACATATATTGCAATTTGCTGGGGGCTTTTTCGCAGATTTCATTTTTAATATAAACACTATCACATCTAATAAAAAACAAATTTAAAGCTAAAAAATAAGAAAAACTCGAATTATTAATACAAATTAAAATATAAACAATGAACACGAACGCCAATGTTGCCAAATGATGAACTGATTTTAAAACAAACTTAATAAATGAACTAAAATGAAAAAAAAATCAATGTAATAAATCGGTTTTATAAAAAATCCTTAAATAAATATAGAGTATGATTACATATTACTAGACACAAATTTTGATTCTTAAATAAAAATGTCTTATCCACTTCTTCAAGGGCTAAAATTCGACGACGTAGCGACATTTCACTACTTCTGGCAACACTGAACGATATCCTACTTACAGGCACCTTCTACAAATTTCCTCCAGAGGACGCATCACTTAGTTTAAATCGCGAATAAATGGTGTTTTCATAATGCGAAAACCATAATACGAGGAAGATTTGAAAATAAGGTTATGTTCCCAGAATAGTAGGTACCATATTTTTTCTTCTTTTATGATTTTCTTTTATAATGATTTTCGTTATATAGGGTGTTACTTAACATGAAAAACTAATGATAGTTTGCTTTATAAACTATGGTCCAAAAATGTTCCGTTACGAAAATACAGGGTGCCAAAGTTTTGGGAAAAGAAGTGAAATTAATTAATATGTTCGTAATCACTTGAGATACTTCAGTGTTATTTATTATTCAGTGACAGTTAAGATTGGTTTACATTTTTCAATACAAAAATAATTTTCAGCTTTAAAAGTGGCGTGCGTACGGGCACTAGCCTTAATGTTTTTGAAGAAAAAAATGGTACGCGAATAGTTTTTTCCAAATGAAAATTATTATTAAATTCCCCGTTCAATTTTAAACTTAAAGGCTTGATTTATTTTCCTACGATGCTTCGTTTTTGAGTAAAATAATAAAAACTGTTGTATTATCCGAGAAAATGAATGAAAATTATTGAAGAATGAAAGAAAAAACTTGACATTTGGACCATAGTTTATAACACAAACTATCACTAATTTTTCATGTAGATTTACACCCTTAAATATTCGCATCATATAGTTCTAACCTAATAAATCTACAGAGCTATTTTTAGAAAAATAAATCTTTGGAAATGATCTCAGTTAATTAATAATAGTCAATATTTAAATAAAAAAGAACAGGTAAACTAGAACCAGAAATATTGTAAGGGCATAAAACATCAACCACTTGAGTTATCAGCAGGCGGTAGCCTCTACGCAGAGACGTACTTACTCTAGCCATAAAGTTCTGTTCTATAGGTATAACGATTGGGTTAAAATTGGGTTAAAAAATTTATTAAAAAAAATCGCTAGAATATTAATTTAGAATTATTTGTTTACATATAATAGATGATGTAAAGTGCCACACATAAAGTCCGCATCATATGGGATTTTTTTCCTAATTTCTGTAGATAAATGACATGGAAATGGATAATCATGTGACTTTGAAAATGATAATATATAATTCGAGTAACCTAAAAATGAATTAGTAAAAAATTAAAAAAAAAAAAAAACTGAAAGTTGGTATATGAGCAAAAAATAAATAATAACTTTTCCTCGAGTCTTTTGACAAATTTTTGAAAAATAATGCTACTTTTTGCAATTTAAAAAAAAAACGTATAAAAGTTCTACTACTCATAAAGAAAGGAAAAAAAAAAAAACAAGAATGTCAGATATCAATGTATTAAAATGGAGATCGTGCTTGTATGGTTTCGATAGAGCGGGCGCCGCCGACGGCTCGGTTAACTAAAATTTGGCGGTTTATTTAAATGAAAAAAATACTACTCGTATATAGTACGTTCAAAAGATATATGCATAAATTTATTTTTGGAAATGCATTTTTTAGGAAAATGTATGCGTTACTTTATGGATACACAATGTATTAATATCACGAGCATGTAAGTCGTTTAAAATTAGCCTTAGCTATCTTACATTCCTTGCTCACTACGCTCGCTGCGGCGGTTATGACATATTTTACTTCCTAGGTATGTTAATAGCTATTATTTACAACAAACATATCCTTATCAAGTGCTCTAAATCAACCCTAGGAGATTTTTATATTATGAAATAATTTTAAATACAAAACTGTAAACAAAAGAGAAACAAAAATGGAGAGCTCACGATTATTAAAATACCAAAATATTTGGAAATGGCATGGAAATGAAAATGGACGCCTCTTAACAATTCTAGAAGTAACCATTGACCTCTAGCGACAAGGGTATGAACTTTTTGGTCGATGTAAATCTGTTTTCATTCCCGCCAATAGTTCTCTATATTATTGCATAGTTAATTATTCAAATATAAAGCATACAAATATAAAAAAAGTTTTTCAAGAAGAGCGAGATCCTATGTTATTTCATTACATATTTTATACTTTTAATTCAAACGTAGTAAATAAACGATGTTATGGATTAAAATTAAACTTCTGATATTATTAAGAGATAAATATACTAGATATACTGGAATTTGTCAAACCACAATTATTAAAAGTGAATAACAGTTTTCGTTACTCGAGAGAAATTTTTTCATGCGATACCTGACATTTTTTTATGTATTTTTATGTATTTTGATGTATTTTTATGTATTTTGATTTATTTTTATGTTTTTTAATGTATTTTTATGTATTTTTATGTATTTTTTATGTATTTTTATGTATTTTTATGTATTTTTATGTATTTTTATGTATTTTTATGTATTTTTATGTATTTGTACGTATTTTTATGTATTTTTATATATTTTTATTTATATTTATTTTTAATAAATTTTTTGTGTATTAATTTTTATTGATTTTTATTAATTTTTATTTTTTTTAAAGTATTTTTTTATTTATTGTTATACATATATTGTTATTTATTTATTTTTATTATTTTTTTTTATTAATTTTTATTGTTTTGTTATTAATTTTTATTATTTTTTTAATAAATTTTATTATTTTTTAGTTATTTTAATTTATTTATTTTTGATTATTTTTATTTATTTAGTACTTTTATTTATCTTTATTTATTATTTATTTTGCCCCCTTCCTTAAAATGTGAAAATCCAAAAACTTTGAAAAACGTCATTATTAGCTTCAATTCCAATTTTCAAGTTCTTACTAAAAAATTGATACCCCCATACAAACTTTCGCCCCCTTTTCCCCCTTAAAATATGAAAATCCAAAAACCTTCAAACACGTAACTACTTATTTGTGATGAGCATCCATAATTCCAATTTTCAAATTTTTACCTTTAAAAAATCGATACTTCCATACAAAATTTCAACACCCGTTTCCCCCCATAAAATGTGAAAATCCAAAACCATGAAAGACGTCATTATTTATTTATGCTCAGTAGCTATATTTCAAATTTTCACGTTTCACTACCACTATGCAAAAATCATGTCTGATCCCTTGAGCTGTGAAAACAAAACAACTCTATCCTACTGGAACCGTACATTTTTTGGGATAAAAACTAGCCTATGTGGTATTCCAGACTATAATCTATCTTTGTGCCAAATTTCATCCTGATCCGTTCAGCCGTTCTGGCGTGATTGAGTAACAAATATCCATCCATACATCCAAACTATCGCATTTATATATTAGTAGGAAGTAGGATTAGTAGGATAATTTCCAAGTATAAGGCTCTAATTAAACAATTATACATACAAGATGCTTTTTAAAATATACATGAAAAACGAAAAAAATACCAGTGTCGCCATTTACATAACCAAGGCCTCTCAAAAACATTCCAAAATTCTCGGCAACTGGATATTTGCCTTCGCTCATATTGCGAACTGAGCATTTATTTCAGCGAATGGGCGAATTCGGTATACAATATGTTAACCAGCTCACCCAACAGACAAAAGATGAGACGCTTAATTATATATGGACGTGAGACAGATAAAGAGAGCACTTCATTTAACCACGCCCTTTCGATGGCAAAGATAGGATATTGCATGTATATTGCGGTAGGCCTATTATTCTATTTCTCTCTAATCAATACTATTGTGTTTCTTTACCGTTTGACTGCAATGAGGAAAGCAAACTTAACATACACCTATAAACACTAGATGCAACTAAGCAGCAAATTTTAAATTTGAGACATTAGAAAACTACGAACATGACAATTCCTTGAGACATTGTAAATATAAAAAATAAAGTGTCCTTACTGTGTTGTGAATGTAGTGACTGGTCCATGTTGGTTTGCAGGGTGACGGACAGCGGGGGCAGCTGCACCCTTTCGTAGTGGAAATGGGCGCATTCTTCGAGCTTGGGGAACCTGCAAGGTTCCGCCCCCAGTGCCGGCACCCCACCGGCCGCTTCGCTGATTTGCATCTCGTACACCTCAGAACATAATGCCTAAAACAAAACAAAAAATTTATTTTAAATATATTCATCTGAATCTGTTAGTAATATACAAGTGTTTTTTAATTATGTTTCCCAAAGATAACACCGGAAATACCTGCATTTTTACTGCGTTTTTGCACCATTATAATATCGACTGATAAGGATAAGTTTTGAGAAAACCGCAAAAAACAAGGAAAATTATATCTCTTGAATTTTATTTTAATGTAGTTGTTTTGAATCACGGTTGTTTCTCGAATTCATTTGAATATTTTACATAATAAATGTTGATCTACTAAATTACTATAGAAACTATTTTGATTCATTTTCTGCACCTGTTAAAAATACGGTCTTAATTTTTGTTTCCTGTTTATCAAACGAATATATTGAATTTCTATTAAATATCTTCAAGGCTTTAAAGGTTACTTTATTTGTGAAAATAAACATGTATAATCCTTATATCAGTGCTATTGGTGTAATAGTATAATGTTAATTATGGTAAAAATATTTCTTATTTGTTAAGAATTTTTAGGTAAATATTTCAGGTTTTTATGCCATTTATATATTCAATAAAGTTGATGATATACATTTTCTGCCACCAGCCCTCTACATATAAAATAATTTTTAAAAATTAGTCGATGTTATTTAGTAGGTCGTAGAAAAAAATATACTATGCAACTTAAGATGATTGTCCGCATTGAACTTATCTCTTGTTGCATAAGCTATTATTATCAAATAAAAGGCAATAACGTAAATAAAATGCATGGTGATAACTTAACCCCAACTCCCGTTATAATACTTGTCCGTCATGACACTTGTCATTCAATGTCCGGATGAACTTATAGCCCTGAAAGTAGCCATTTGGAGGAAAATAACAATTTTGAATAAAGCACAGCCCAAATTGCGATAATTATTTTATACCTTGTTATTAATCCGTAAAATTCTATTGAGTCTCCATGTCTTATCATAGATTTTGCTCAATCTTCTTCGTTCCCACGCCTTCATCGTGCCATTCGGTTTTGGAAATTTCTTCTTCATTTTATGTATCCGCAATTTTGAAATCTTATAATTAACAATTTTCGGCTTCTTATTTTTAGTATATTTTTGTACATTACAATTATTTTCAGGCGTTATCAATTTTTCAAGCTGCTTTCCGAAATCCTCAAAGTTGCAATCATTTTGTACCGAAACTTTTTTCTTCCTACCCATTTTGGGCACTCAAAAAAATTGATTATGTGCGAAAATGTGCTTCGTGCTATATTTATCTAAACGATAAAATGAATTAAAATCTGGGATAAAAAGAACAAAATTGAAATAGATAAATTGCTGTGGTATCGACGATGATGACAAACTTGAATGTATCGTATGCGGACAATTTTGATAAAAAAATTGAATTTTTGAGTATAATTAATTCTCGAACAAATTAATAATGATGAGTATGCCTAATTAAAATGTATCGCATGTGTTTAACAAATTTCAGTAAAAGCAAGTTATTTTTGGGATTATTAAAATATATCGCACACTCGCAGTAATAAAGTGGCATAATTCAAAATTTATGTGTTTAAACTTTTAATCATAAAACGGCACAAAATGGCGCCCCCATAAGTAAACATTTTTAAATGACGGTGTTACTCCAAAGCTAAGACGTACGGCTCTGGAGTAGCACCGTCATTTATAAATCTCCTCATAAGCATGGCGCAATTTTGAGCCGTCTTACGATTAAAAGATTAAATATGCAAATTTTGAGTTATGCCACTTTATTACTGAGTGTGTGATATCTGTTCGCGGTGAGATCCAAAACTCAGCAAGCTTGAGTCAAAAGGATAATGGAAAAACCATATACTCCGATGGTCAAACAAGCTTAAATGTAATCCTTTTTATGCACAAGTTGAACGGGACTGGAAGTCCAAATAGTTGATTAGTCAAAATAGATAACCTTAGCTTGTGGGCACTAGGACACAGCAGACAGAGCAATGAAGAGGCTGATTTGGCAGCTCAAGTCTAACATACGCTGTATGGTACAGAACCCACGTGGTGTCATAAAAACAGTCATTAGAACATGTAAAAAGTACAACACTCAGGAATGGTGGAATATATTGTATATAAGATCGGCCTGGAGTCTGGCAGCTGACACTTTGTTCGACGATTTATCAAGATACCATTTGTTGCACTTGTACACGAAAACCAAGTGGATATAGCTCCATAAAAGAGCCGCTTTCTAGGCTGTGGAATTAAATAGAAAAGAGAAGAAAAATATCCATAATAGATCAGCTAAGATTAAGGTGGGGGGTAAGAGGAGAACGAGTGACCCACAGACCTAGTCAAATCTATATTACATTAAAACGTAATACGTCAAAAATGTAAATTTTATAAAATATATGAATGTTTGCTTCAAAGTAATTTTTATTAAATTAAATAATTTAATTCAAATTACCTGACTCTATCTATTTCAATTTGTTATAAATATATGGTTGAAACTCAAGAAGCAGAGTAAAATATTTAAAGGAAATTCCGCCAGAGTATTCCTATACATTTTTTAAATGGGTTGATAGATTTTTTATATTTTCAGCCACTTTGGGGCTGTTTAATTCCGCAGAGGAAATTGAGGTGTTCATTTTCATAATTCCCAAATTTTATAATTTTAGTTTTCTTACACTTCCTTCTTTATTTATTTTTATTTTGTTCAAATCGCCTCAGTTCGTTTCAAAATCTTTCATTCGCTCAAAATAAAATTAGACTTTTAACACTGACTTGTATCATAAATAACTATTGTATATTATTCAATGAATTTTACATAAACTGTCGATTATGTACAAATTTGTTCAAGGTACAAAGGTGATAAAGCGGGTACTTAACAAATTAACCCAATAAGGCCCGTATCTCAGGTAATTCGGCTGAGTCGCCCTTGAACGAAAATCGAAGTTCGGTTAAAACTACAGTTCGAGTTGGTTCCAGTGTTGCACTGAAATTTAGAGATGGATTTAACTGTTACATTTAAGGATTACTTACTACCCAGATCTAAATTCGGACTCGCCTGAAATTTGTTTATAAATACGGGCCTTAGTTAGACCAAGATAACTAAGGAAATGAAAATCGTACATTTTCTGACTAACTTGTTTATTGGAAATCTCCTGTAAAAGTATGTTCGCTTATTTCGGAAACATCCTGTAGAACAATATAATATTTTTCGATTTTTTATTTATAATTAATTTTTGATGTCAATTTGCTAATACTAGACCTGAAAATAAGCTTATACAAAGAAAGAAAATTTCATTTTACAAAATTGTATAAATTATAGAGCGTCAAATGTACAATTATTATCCGATGAGATGTGCCCATAATTACCAACATTCAACTACTATCTTAAGTGATATCTCCTAGAATCTATATTCATTAATGTTTTCGATACATTATCAAAATCTATTTATTTATTCATCAGTGTTTTTATCTTTTTATCCATGTTATTTATAATACCTAAAACTTATTAAAAAAGAAAACAATCATTTGAAATCAATCTTATAAATAGGAATACTCATGAGAACTCCTGCCCTCTTAACAAACCGATTTTTTCAACAATAATTGATCAACAACCGTATCGCACAAAACAATTTCTTGATTCCAGATTTTCAGCACACATTTAACTCTATGCACTGATGAACTTCAACTAATAATTAATACTCGAAAGAATGAACTATTTGAAGCTAAAAAATAAAATAAGTCATTTCGTGTGGTAGTTAGATATCTATGATAACTATAATAGTTGAAATTCATTAACGATTACAAAGAACACGTTAATTTAAAAATACTGACTCAGTTTGAGATAGGATTGGAATTTTTTTATTGAATTATTCGAAAAGGTATCCATTGTGGTTGATGCACTAGGTAATTAATTCAATTGGGTCGAAAATATAAAATGGGATGTAGATCTAGCAGCAATTTAAAAATGATATGGATGTCGATATCAATGTGATGTCCATAACACAATGGCCAACTTTACTAGTGCCTATCAGGTTAATATACTCGATGTTCTGTTAAAAATATTCCTTATGGTTTCTGTATGTTCTTGTGGATCCTAGCGCCACTCTTTTTTAAACATGAAACTCCAACATTGGCATAGTATGTTAAGATATAGATAAGCTTTGATATGGACCGAATCATTGACTGGACTGCTGCAAAGATACGGGATGAATTCCAAAAATGACACTACAAGAACGTTCTAATAAAACTGGGTTGAATCAATCCCCTAGCTTCTTTGAAAGAGTTGTCCATACTACAAACGTAGGTACGTTCTGGCCTGCCAAAACAATAGTTTGATCATCTTTAGAGTAGGTACTAAGTAACACTTTACATCTTCATGTTAACATTCTTGAGTTAATTAAATACATCAGGAATATTTTTTAAGTCTTTCTCTAGTGGTGATGCAACAGAAGGATCAAGAATGGTAGCACTGCAGATGATATACTCTACTCTAGTATCTTATTCCTGAAGCGGTTATACATCCAACGAAGGAAGCACTATTCGGCGAAGTCATTAACGCCTTTGAACCAGTAGGCTGGGAGGAAGTCAGTTTGTCCTTGGAGTTAGCATGATGGGTCTAATAAGACTCGATCACAATGGTACATTAATTGTTCAAAACATGTGACTCTAGTCAACACTGATTGACTCTAGTCAACACTGATTGACTCTGAGACCACCCGAGCGTGGCAAGCCAACAGCTTTGATCTTTAAAAAGACAATCCAAATAGTAGAAGTATTACAGTTCTAGTAGGCCAATAAGAGGATATATATGAAGAGGAAGAAGAAGAGGAAACTGTAAGAGACTTCCTTTGTTACTGCGAAAGTCTATCAAGACTCAAATTCCTTAAGGTTGTAGAAGAAAAAAAGCCATTCAGGAGAAGTTCTTCATAGAGTGTGGAGTTTATTAGATTAGTGCCTAAACTAGACAAAATGTTCAAAGATGAAAGGATATATATACAGTAGATCTTCAAAGGCCCTATCATAATCAAAATTTATTC